AAACTGCTAGTAGGAGATTCCGTTGCAGTCAGACCTTTATCTGATTTTGGTCTTCTATACGGAATAGTTTCACCTGCTACTGCCATCTTCTTATCTGGGCAAGAATTTCGGAAACCGCTTGCTTCGGTAACTACAATTTATATATTTATTGAACCTGTTGTACATAGATCCATTAAAATTATATATATATATATGTATATATACTAAACTTTTTTTTTAAAACTCAATATTTTACGTAATTGATAAATTTTTTAAAAAATTTGCTCAAATATATAAAGAAAACCATCATTAAAATTAAACTTTTGTGCTGTGTTTTTCAATAATACACAAGTAATGACAAGTGGTATAAAAACATTAAGAAAACCTTTTGTTAAACTTTGTAAACCTTTTCTTCTTTTGTTGTAAAAATGAGGTTATTGGGGAATTGCAGACAGCATAAGAGCAAAGATGCTTAAATTATTTTCTTTATATTAGTATATTTTAAGCGCCACAACCACTTTCGTCGTTTTGTGCGTTCAATTTTAGGTTAGATTACGTTTTGCTCTGCAAAAACTGTAAGATATATATATATATATATATATATGTGTGTGTTTGTGTGTATAATATATATATAATATATCGTTTAATGTATTCAAAAGTCTAATTTATATTACATATGGTCTCATTTAACCCATTGAATACACTAACGTGAACAAGTGCAAACAATAAAGCTGTATAGAGTATCACGTGATGATTAATATTTTACATAAAATCTTGAGAGCGCGTGTCTAATGATTTGGTGCATGCATAAAAATAGGATTAAACACAACTCACCTGTTCAATGCAAGGAAAATCAAAATGATGAATGATATTTCCATGACACCGTTTACAAATAATGTTGAATAAGGATTATCTTTCAGTAGGGGCACATTTTCTATCTCACACTTGGACACAAGAGAAACGACGAACCTGGAAAGAAAAATATATGCATTCAATAATACTACCACCTACATTTTTATTGCAGATTTTACCGATGGATTGAAAGAGAGCACACATAAAATAAGATATTTAACTGGAAATACTTCTCAAATCGAAGTGAACCATCTCACACAAATGGCGTGCACTACAAGCCCTATAAATTACACTTTGGGTGAAACAAGGTCGATTACGCTTTTGTTTCGAAGCCTCTGGTTATTCAATTGAATCGAAATACTCCGCGGCCTTTTTTTTTTTTTTTCATTTCGAAAACACAAAGGATTGAGCCGCTACGGCTCAAGCGATAGAGCGAATGAGGTGAAGCGGGTTCGATACGGGACTCGAGCCCTGGTCCATACGAATTCCGCATCCGGCTTGCGCAGACCACAGTGCTGACGTGAAATATCCTCAATGGTAGACGGGTTAGAATCCCTTAGGCCAGGGGTCGGCAACCTTTTGAAATGAAAGAGCCAAAAGTTACAATTTTGCAAAATTTCCCGCTTTTAAAGAGCCACTAAAAATTTTGATTTAATACTATAGTATTTTTTTTTATGTATATTTGATTTTTAATTAAAAAAACGGTTTTGAATGCAGAATAATATTTATTCCTTATTTTTACAATACGTCAATAATTTTTTTTTAAAATTTAGTTTTCATTTAATTTTCAGTTTTTTTAAAATTATTTTTCTTCTTTGGGGGGGGGGGGGGNGGGGGATAAGAATATTTGGGTCATTAAAATTCGATGAAAATTGTAAATTTTCTTACTAATTCTTGTCAAATTTTCAACAGAAAACGCGATTTTTTTTTTTTTTTTGAATGTGCAACGAAACACAATCTTATCAGATAGATTTTATAATAATTTTTTTTAATTTTTCATAGCCATTCCGCAATAATATTCATTTATATTATATAGTTTATATTAATTTAATATTATATCAGAATTTTTTCAAGATTTTCCTTTTTTAAGAAATATGTACCGTCTATTCTTGTTATTGTTAAAAACAATTTTTAAGCACTTAATTATTAAACATTTAAATAAATTTTAAATTTTTTTGTCAAAGTAAACGTTAAATCGATTTACAATGAAGTGCTAGAAATGATGGTCACATACTCTTTATATTTATTGTAAAAATTTTTTAAATTTATAGAGCCTCGAGCTTTCCAACTCAAATAACTTAAAATTTTTTGAAAAATTAATTTAATAAAAATCACTGAAAGTAACGATCTTCTACTATTTTAAATATCTTTTATACGCAAAATTACAACATTAATGTATTTGATTGCTAAATTTAATAATATGCAGGTGATTCGGAATGACCACTCTTAATATGCATTTAAAGAAATTTTGTTTCAAGTGAATGCGAAAACGAACGGATAGAGGTCACACGTTGGAATTTTAACAATCGAAAACAAACAAATCACTGTTGAGGAAGGCGAGTGTAAATAGGCGATTAACGATTTTTTACCAAATTAAATAACTTTATAAATTAAAAACTTCAACATTCACCTGGCAATTAAAAAGGCCTGTTATTATTACTATTATTATAAAGATTATATCAATATATTGCATTAGATATTTTTTAAATTTATATGCTTGTTTTTTCCTTTTAAATTTTAATTTACTACATCCGCTGGAGTAGATTTTTATCTTTATTTTTGACAAGGTTTATAAAAATTTATATTAAGGGTGATCTTTTCATAACATCATGTTTTACATGATAATAACATGTGATACACATCAAAGGCTTTAAAAAATGTAGATGAAAATTAAATTAGTATTTATTCATTAAACTGAAACATTAAACTGAAAAATTATCAGACATCAATTATGACTCGTGCATTTTTTTTAAACTCTTAATCTAAGTAGGATTCTTTCTGATGCATTTCAAATATTATATGCGTATTTATTTAATTTTAGTAATTTGATTTGCGAATAATTATTTTTAATGCTTATTTATTACTAAAATTTTATTTTTCATTTTCATTTAATAATTTTATTTATTTTTATTATTCATTTTATAATTTACATTGTTATTAATATAAGAGCTGTGACTAAAATCTTGAATGGGGATACAGAAATAGTTCTTTTTTTTCTGGGGGGGGGATGAACTAGTTTTGGAAGCACAGATAAATTTTTTCACGCATTCTTGCCTTAAATTTGTAAAATGCTAAATTTTTTATCCGAATATTTCTTTATATAAAAATAATACTATATAAATAATAAATAAAACTTTAAAAAAAATTTAACTATGTATTCAAACATTGCAGCATGATAAATCATAAATAAATATTTGTAAAATTTGATGATTTGTAAATAATGCTTTACCGAAGAATGTTTAAGTCTTTTTTTAAAATATAAAAAAAAATACCCTTAAATCGCAAAAAAAATTTTTTTTTCTGGTTAAGGCAGTTAAAGTACAATTTTGTTAATTATTTATTTTGTTAATTATCGTGCCTTTTAATACAAAACTGTGAATTGAGTTTTTACATAATTACAAAAATATTAAGTTTCTTTTTACTAATAATTAACTTAAACAAATGGAAAATTGTTAACTTAAATCTAAAATATAAATAAAAAACATTAAATACATACGAAATACATCAACATAGTAACAAAAAAGATGAAAAAAAAAAATTATTATTGAAAAAAAAACTGAAGCTTTTCTATTTTTAAACACATTACATTTTTAATAAAATAAGCATTAGTATAGTTTTGTTCATAACGGATTGCAGTTTGAACTTATTATAAAAACAAATGCTACGAACAAATATAGAATTTGATTTTTGAAATTTAAATTAAATAAGATCTGTGAAAAATAATCTCAACTGAAAAAATTAAATTTAAAAATAAATTACTATTTTAAACACAAAATTAAAAAGCTTAGTAAATAACTATTTAAAAAAAGGAAAAAAAATTCCTATATTTAGAATTCAAATGTGATTTATCTGTTTCCATCTCAAGCTCCTACTAATGAATATAAATAACGTAAAAAAATTTTAATTGCTCTTTTTTCTTTCTTTTAATCATTTTACAGTGGAAAAGAGATTAAAAATTTTTTATCTACTTCATAAAAATCAATTTTTACCCATATATATTTTTAAAAAAAATATTTTTTTTCTTTTTTGAAAAAAGTCTTATACCTAAATTTTGAAGCAATAATTGAGGAATTAATTTAATAAGAAAATAACAACATATTTAATGAAATTTAATTTTACCTTAATATTTAAACAATAAGACTGCAAATAGTAAATATTCATAAAAAATTTATACTTACATTCAATAATAATATTAATTTATAAGATATGCTTTGAGTAACTAAGTACTTGTAAACTGGTACTGGACAGTTAAAGACAGGTCAGTGAAGTAACTGGGGAGGTGAGTGAAAAAAACTGGACAGTCATATAGAGAAAACCACAGCTGTATGTGCATTGAGCCCTTTCCTTCCCTTTCTTAACGACATGGACAAAGATATTGTCTTTATTCTTAGAAAGAGCAAGAGAAAACGTGAGAAAAAGGCATTTCTAGATAAATACTTTTAAAGCACCCTGGATTTTTCAAGTTGACAGAAATTTCCGGGGTGATCAGAGTCGCAGGCATCATCCTTCTTTTGTGCCTTTTCATGGTGTCGGTAACGGCATGCTCAAACAGACAACAGACTTGCCGCTTTTCGGGGTGAATACTCGGAATCGAGTCGGAATGAGACACTCCTCTAACCGGGCTTAACGACAGGCCTGAGGGTAGCGGTTTGTAATTAACGATTATAAGAATAGAAAGCTCTTGAGAAATTGGGTACTTAAAAATATTTTTTCTTATTTTTAAGGGCTTTGGTAACAATTTATTAATTTTTTCGTATGGAACTGGAGAGCCGCAACTTTGCATCAAAAGAGCCACCTGTGGCTCGCGAGCCACAGGTTGCCGACCACTGCCTTAGGCTAACCGTGGGAGGTTCTCGTGGTCTCCATGTAACGCAAATGAGGGTCAGCTCCATCAAATAAGTTCTCCAAGAAGGCAAACTTTCTCCCAATACTTGATCCGGAAGTATTGCTACGTAGTAGTCGTCAATCCGAAAATTGGGTCGACTGTTCAACCGACGGTTATAAAAGGATTTAAGAGAATATATTTTTATTGAAATTAGTATGAGAAAGATAACGTTGAATTAAGAATTAATAGCGTCTTTTTTTAATCTTTGCTTTAGAATAATCTTTTTATTGCTTTCGATTACCCCATTTGCTTTAGAATGAATTTCGACTGCTTTTAAAATCCTCTCATGAATTAATATAAAGCACTTAAAAGAAAGACTTCACAGCTTTTAATTTATTAAATCATGATAGAGACATTTTATTTACATTTCTTACTCCAATCTCACTTTCCTTCTTTAATCTAATGTGCATACATTATTATTAGTTAGAATATAAATAATTTTATGCGTTCATTACTTTTTTTCTTATGTATGGCATAGTATTTAAATGACAGTGATTATTAAATTTTTAAAATGATAAATAATAAGTTAACTTTTAATAATATAACATGATAGCTTTAAATAATGTCATGGAAAGCATAAGTGAAGTATTTTAAAATGTTTATTTATATTTGTTAGTAGTCTCTGCACTGTACTTAGACACTATCTTTATAACTATAGGTAGAGCCGTTCGAAAATTCAAAGAGTGGTTCCAGAGTAGAGTTGGGCAATAACGTAATCGATACCATTTACCGATGACTCGTCATCATGATGACTACAAATCATAATTTTGATGACTGCTGCAATCGTGATGACAACCATCAATGATGGTAATCAATCACGTGTAATAGAGACATCGCTTCATTTTGATTACAGCTGCAATTGTAAATACGTGCATACATATATTATGCATATATACAGACTTACATTGGGTATACATGTAATGAATACATGTACATACATACTTTGAACATGCATGTATTGTGTGTGTGCATAAATTCATACAAAATATAGATTGCATATTCATATTTATAATTTGCATTTATATTGTATGCACCTACACGCTTTCGCGTATCTATACATTGTATGCACATACGTACATTGTATATTATGTACATACTTTTATTGTCTGCCCTATTGCACATATATCTGATGTTCGAAATTCAGATTGTAATTTTATAGTTTGATTGCTTGTTATCACGATTACGTGTAATCATAATTACCTGTAACTAAATATTTTGATTACTTATAATCATGATTGTGTGTAATCAGATATTTTGTTTACTTGTAATCATGATTACCTGATGATTGACAAGATTACAAGTAATCACGAATCAGAGATAATAATTACTTCTAATCGCAATGACAAGTAATTTATAAAATAATTATCTGTAAATAATTACAATCAGACATTGACACATAAAGACACTCGTTTTAGAGCCGGTATATCACCAAAAAGTTGAAGGAACTCTTGTTATGCAATATTTTTTAACATTCTTCAATGATAAATTAACATTATCCATATTTGGATGCCCCATATCAGGAGTGGCCAAACTGCGGCTCTTTGAAGGATTATTTGTGGCTCTCGATAAATGTTCATTTCTGCCCTATTATATTTTTAAAAATTATTATCGGTAAAAATATACTTGAGGGTGCCCCTTAGCGAAATTGGCGACTTATGTTTGGCGCCATTCCTGTTTGTGCTGAACACCATGGCAACAGGAATGGCGGCCGAAACATAATCATATTTCGATAAAACATTGGAAAATTTCAACAAAACATCGGCTGAAACTTTATTAAATTGCAATGAACCCAATATAAGCAAATTTAATAAACCCAATAAAATGCATTTTGAATCGAAACAAAAATTAATGGAGTAAGCACAGAAAGAAAAGGAAAAAAACAACTCACTTCTTCATTAAGCTTGAATGTCCTCAGATTTAGGTGCACAGAATTCTCTAATAGCAGTTAGATACTGTCTAAATTTATCATGAATAGAATCTGTGTACTTCAAACGCCACATAAATTCGACGAAATACGAATCGAAAATGGCGTCTGTAATACCGAACTAATTGTAGCATTTTTTTCTTAAATCTCTTTTTATGACTGTCCACATACCTTCGATCTTATAGACCAGATTCAAAAGTAACCTTACCAGCTGGTATCCAATGTAGAACAAACGGACCTCTGAAATTACATATACCGTTGAACATTTAAAAATAACACTAAAATCTAAACCAATCAGAATCACGATTGGGTTTCAACATCGCTCAGCTTGGCGATCAATCGCGATCACAACTTGGCGAGAATCGGGGGGCACCCTCAAATATAGTCTACCCTTATTATAGTTCCGTATTGTTTCAAAATGCCTTTTAAATTACAATCAACAAATATGAAAGACTAAGTGCAAACAAATTTCATTTCCGTCCAAGTTAAGACTCATCGAAAACTGCGCGAACGAACATAAACAGTAGCGTCCGTAATCGACTGACTTCAGAACGATTAACACGATCTAACAATAATTTATTCTTTTTTTTTTCCTAAGAAAAAGTAAGCTAGAAGAAATATTGACTGAAATTCCAACATACATTTCAAAACTTTAGATATTTTAAATCGTCTCCTGATTTTTTTCGGAATCCATTTGAAATTAAGATAATTCAAGGTGAGTGTTTTCCATTTCCAATATAATTATGACCCATAAAGCATCTGGAAAATTAGAACTAATAGAGATATTAGTTCTAATAACATTAAATGTATTTTTTGAAAATATTCCCCACTCGTCAGATTTTCGATCCGATACTACAACATTTAACAAAATGTTCTTTTGTGGGAACTTGCAGAGAGTGACACATATTCACCTTTTAACCTTTTTAATAAAAAGAGAAGAGTTTTGTGATGCGTACCATATGTAATATTGTGTGAAGGCAAGAAGACGGAGTCGTGCGGAGCAGATGATGGTTTCGAATCCATGCCTCGCTGCGTAACCACCGGGCATGGAGCGTGCCACTTTACACGATTTCAATAGCTGTATTCTCTGTCCAAATGATCCTTTGGAATTGAATCGAGACAACTGAAGTTGGGCAGACTGATGACGATTCTCCACCACAAGCCACGCTAACGAACGAGGTAAAAGCCTGCAACAACAAGAGATGCGTCAACATTTACATTTCTCAATTACTAACCCCCCGCTATAGTGAATCTTCGAGGGACCGAAATTTCTGTTCACTATAACTATGAAGTTCACAATTTTAACTCCTTTTTGCGCTCCCTTTTATGACACATTATTTAAATGAATGACCCATCAAAAGAAAAACAAAAATAATTAAGCAATATGTAGTAATTTCTATTTTTTATGACTCTTCGTCTTGCTAACAAAAAATTTAAATATAGCCTTTATTGAGGGATGGGAAACTGAGATAGAAGAAGCAAACAAAATGAATTACGGCTACATTCCACTCCTCAATAGATTGTTTTAAAAATCAGTCCATGTATTTTATTTAGAAATTTCAAAAGGACCAAAAAATGAAGAAAATAAATCAGTGGAAGACAGAATGGTATTCTTTTGGTTCACTATATCCTCAAAAAATAATATTATACTAGGAGGCTTCGCCCCCTGCTCGCTGGTGCTCGCCAACCGTCGGAACTGCTTTCGCAGTTCATTTCGGATTGCTTCGCAATCCGATGCTCGCTTTGCTCGCTCATTGGATACGTTCTTAACGTCTAGCTTTTGTATACTTTTTTGAATACTGAAGTTCCGAAAACTTTTCACTGTAGAAAATTCTACACCGGTGCGTTTCAATATTAATTTGAAATTGCAAACAGTTCACATATTTTTCTTAATCACACTATTCTAAATTTCAGTTGTTGAGAAAAGTAACTGTTGTAAGTTTTGTTTTAAAGTCTTT